GAAGGAAACTGCGAATGGATCGTTGTACCTTCGATATTCTGTTGAATGTTTTGTGACCCGCTGTAACACGCGAAAACACCAAATTGCGTGACTGCTTTGCTCCAGAAAAAGTACTCGCACTTGGTTTGTATCGTCTGGCGCACGGGAACTCTTATGAGGGCATTGGGCTGAATTTCAATGTTGGAAGATCGACTGTTCTAGAAGCAGTACTAGATGTTGTGGAGGATCTTGTGCAGCCACATCTACTGCTTTGTTGTTAGTCTGATGAAGCGGCGACCGGAAAATTACTCCCCTGTTGTAGGTCGCCCCGGTTGAATGAAAATTGTTTTACTTCCTGGTCTTTATAGGAACCATTCATGAATTGTTTCATGATGCAAATACGTTTTTGATTTATTTGTTCTATTTTCTTTTCGGGTATGAATAAAATGGTCCAAACAATAGTCCAAGGGTCTAATGGTCCAGTCCATACCTTCTCCTATTCCTTTTTTGTCAGGTGATCGGTATATACACAAATTTGAATCCAGTAAATCGATGAAATAGGGCAATAAATATTTTTATTTCATTATCAATTCATTTATTTTTACTATTTGTCACTATTCGCCACTATTCGCCACTATTCGCCACTATTCGCCACTATTCGCCACTATTCGTCGCCATTCGTCACCATTCGCGACTATTCATCGCTATTCGCCACTATTCGTCACTATTCGCACTACTCGGTCACTATTCGCCACTATTCGTCGCTATTCGTTACTATTCGCCACTATTCATCGCTATTCGCCACTATTCGTCGCTATTCGTCATTATTCGCCACTATTCATCGCTATTCGCCACTATTCGTCACTATTCGCACTACTCGGTCACTATTCGCCACTATTCGCCACTATTCGCCACTATTCGCCACTATTCGTCGCTATTCGTTACTATTCGCGACTATTCGCACTATTCGGTCACTATTCACCACTATTCATCGCTATTCGCACTACTCGGTCACCATTCGCCACTATTCATCGCTATTCGCCACTATTCGTCGCTATTCGTCATTATTCGCGACTATTCGGTCACTATTCGCCACCGTTCATCGCTATTCGCCACTATTCGTCGCTATTTGTCACTATTCGCGAGTATTCGCACCATTCGATCACTATTTGGGTATTATCACTAGCCTAGCTAGCTCTTACCCGGGTCAAATTTTGTCGGCGGTGCGTTTGAAAATTTGTGCGCTTCGGCAAAAAAATTGTGAAGTCGCGACAAACCATCCGCACTTGTAAAGTGTTGGTGATGACAGAAAATTTGTCGAAATAAACAATTATGTCGTTAGTGCAGATAGGCCCTTTATAATCCTAACTGTAATTAAGAAACGACAATCATACATGCATGTACAAAATCATCTTTGATAAATGCTTGCCGGAACAAGCAAAGCCGCATCAAGGGGGAGGTAAGATCGAGGTCATTTTTCCCTTTAAATGACTAAGGTTGAAGTCGAACTGAAAGTGTTATTCCAGCATAAGAAAAGAGAACACATGATCTGACAGAGTTAATGACTAAATAATGGTGCTTTGTACTAAACTGCCATCGGTCGGTATGCCATACCTCATAAAAAAAACAAATATTCATGCCCTTATATATACCCAGGCAACATTAAGTGTTTTTTGGGCTCGTATTTTTGAAGCCTGAGGAGAGAATGTTTTTGTCTCTCTAAAGGTTACTTAGGTTTGCTTAAAAATATTTATGATAATCAACAGATCATAAGGGGATAGAGAGGAAAAACAGGGCGTTGGCCAGGATATATATGTCGATTCCACTTAAGAGCGGATGTCAGAATCCAACGAACAAATCTGAAATATTGTGGCAAGTCGCCCAAATTTGTTTTCACTCCTAATTTCATACTTTGTAGCCCAATATGTTCTAATAATTGTGGTGTAGTTTTTTTGCGAAAATATATTTTAGTTTTCGAGAAATGACTTTTTTTCGTTTGACTGCTCAAATATGCAAATTTTCACTGTGAATATTACCCGAGTTGTGTGACCTTATGTAACGATTCCACACAGGAGACCAGGTTTTGCGTTGTGTTTCCCACCCCCCCCCCCCTCCCATTTATATCACAAGCTAGTCACGCAATAATTGATACCGACACAAATGAATATTTACCATGTATAATGATTTATGTTTATGTTGAATTGAAAATATTGGAATATGTGCTTTTTTTTGGTCACTAATCGTTTCAGCGGAAGCAAAACAGTTTTTAGCGGGTTGTTGCTTCAACGCCATTGAAATTTATAGTATTCAGACAGGCGAGCAAAGCGTAATGCTCGGGGAATAAAAACTTTTATTTTTTTTTCAGAGGGCATGGTAACAAATCCTGCAATCTGATTGGTTCTTTACCCGGTCAGTATTTTCCTATCTCTGCCCACGGGCCACGGTAACGCTTTCGTGAGTCGCCGTGTACATCCCAACTTTCGTTACCATTTTTCATAAATATATCTCGTTTTTCCGGCTTGGTGGTATTTTTAAGCAAACACATCGGCCACTACCTCAAGCCGAAATAACTAGTGAATCCTCTCTTTTCTCTCTCTCAAATCACTTTGGTTGACAGAAAAATATTGGTTTCAGAATGAATTTGTGTAAGCAATAGCGTCCTTACGTTTGTTGACAAGCGGCCTATAAACCGTCTGCAATTAATTTTAATCGTTCACAAAAAATACCTAGAAAGTTAAAACGTGAGGTACTTGGTTACAGTTAACTGAACGATGGAACTTTCATTTATTTAATATCTGAATTTTCTCAAACAATTTGTTCGTAGTGAAAGAACGAGAGAAGTTTTAATTTCAGTTCTACAACAAATATACGCTCCCGGTGAGTCTTTCCAATTCCGTTCAATTTGGACATTTGTACCGTAAATTGCACAACGGAAACTAAAGGAATTTATTGAGAAAAGGCTGCCTTAAATCCCCTTGTGTCTCGTTGGAGTGTGCCATTCGAATTTAGTTTTTGTGGACGGAAGACCAGATTTACACACGCCATTGCAGCAAACAAACGAGTAAACTCTCACAACTTCAAATTAAAAAATTTGAATTTACTCACAATTATTTTCCTTGCCGTTTCCTTAATGAGCAGAGGTAAATCTTCGAACATGAATGAGTCGTCGATCAGAGTGAATAATACTTTCCGTTAGATCATTGACTGTTTTTGAAGAAAACATTGTCGTGACAGTCCTTGCCAAACTACATCCGTTGTTTTTCGAATCTTCTTGCGCTTTTTTCTTCTTACGCGCTCTCTAATTGACAGGTGTCAGATTGTAACAGGTACTTGTAAAAATAATGTTTCAAAGTTTGTTAAGAAGCCTTTTAAATCACCTTTATCGTTGCGGAAATGAAAATGCCTCGGTGAGGCATCTCTCTTTAATTTGCATCACCTCTATTTTAACCAGTTACTCGGTCATAATTGTTCAGTTTATGGAAGATCTTGCCGTATTTACAGCCCTAAATCATCCGGGTTCTTTCGGAAAGAATCTCGTCAAGTTTAAAAAAAAAATATGTTATTTACCGGCTAAGGGTCGGTCCGTATGGTGAAAAACTGTCAACCTCGGTCTTGAGTATTCAGTAGTATTGACTTGAGTAGGCAGTATTTTCAAGACCTCGGTCACAGTTTTTCACCATACGGACCTCCCAGCCGGCAAATAACATATATTTAGGGGCCTTTTACATGTTATCGGAAAGGGTTTTGTTCAAGAACGAGTTACCGGTTGCCACATGATACCAGAGCAAAATTTATTCGAAACGAGTCATTTCTGAGTGAGTTTATTGGGGTTTTCCTTACAGAACAAAACACTCCTTATGGACGACCTTTTCTACCTGTATAATGTAAACGCGGCACGACTCTCATATTTGTATGAATCCTCTTTAGGAGCGAGGGAAGCATAGAAAAAGACAGGAAAGGACATAATACTTGTTTTTACAGGCTAAATTAATATGAAATCAATTTCGTTCCGGAACGAAACTTATTTTGGAATTACGTAAAAGCAGGAGTACTGGGTTCCTGGTAAAAGCACCTTATGGACGGTCATTAAATTTTTGAGGGGAGGGGGCACTGGGGCAAATCACTTTCTTTTTTTTGAACGAAAAACATCATTTCTCGAAAACTAAAATATATTTTTACAAAAAAACTACACCACAATTATTAGAACATATTAGGCTACAAAATATGAAAGTAGGAGTGAAAGTAAATTTTGAGTGACTTGCCGCTGTTGGTCTGATGCATGCTGACATTGGCTCTTAAGTTATTCTTAACTTGGGCTAAAAATCTAAAATGTAATTTAGTGTTAACAACCGAGTTGAAAACGTAAATTGAACACCGTAAAGAGTTTAAAGACTCTGAAGCCTTTAAACTCTTTACTGTGATCAATTTACGTTTTCAACTCAGTTGTTGACACTAAATTACCTGTTATACTATCCCAGCGACGCAGCACCACAGTTTCTTTAGAAACTTACCACCTCTAAAACATTTAACCTAAGTTGGACTTAAGCTGGAGCCTATTTTTGTGTCCAAATTATACACTTTACAGCAGGATCTCGTCATTGAATTATTTTTAATCTATCTTTTTGGCGCCATTTGTCAAATCAACGGACATTTTGACAGACAATTTGACGTTTCATCCTTTTCCGCTTTCGGTGCTAAACTGTATTTGTTTGCCGGATGTGTTATAGGACAAACCATCTTGACATCTTGAGGTGACAAAAGTGTCAAAATAAACCATATATTAGTCCAAATTAACATAGAATCGAATGATTCGGAAAGAGTGTTGTAGAAGCTCTTAATTTAAATTTTAAAAACGGACAGCACTGTGCTACAGTCAAGTTAAATCAGGAACTCCTTTAGTGTTGGTTAATTTTCATTTTAACTCTCTGATGTTCAGACGTCATTAATTCTTTGTATCTAACCCGGTGGTCTTCTAATAAAGACGGAAGTGTTTTGTTTATTTTCTGCCTCTGCCGCTGAGTCTAAATTGTCGAATAGATGCGTAGGACCTTTTTCAGAGTTCTTTTCAAATGTTTGCGGATCTCTTTATATCGCCAGCAATAAATCAAGGGATTAAGGGATGAATTAAGAAAAATTAAGAATACGGAGACATGATGAGCTACTCTGTAGGACAAACGGAATTCATCGTTCATCAGCGCAATTGCACAACACAAGTGTGGAACGTAGCAAACAAGAAAAACAACATAAACAACTGAAGCATTGACAAACGACTTCTTTTCTCGAAGCTTCTCCATTGCTCCGCCTTTTTCCAGCTCACATTGCTTTGGTATCATATTTTGATGATATTTTACAACTCTTGAAAGATAAATGAAAATAGCCGTTGAGACAAGCAGTCCGAACACCTCAATAGCCACAATCATATAGGAATGGTGAAGAATTGTAATGTCAACGGTAGTGCAAATACTACTTAGAAGCCACAACACGGCCAAAACTGCAGTTACGCGGTTAGATGTGACCAGCTCATGATATCGCAAATGGAGGTAAATTGCAAGAAATCGATCCAAAGCCATGGCGGTTACGGTAAAAAATGAGGCTGAAGCCAGCAGAAACGCAGAGAAATGATGAAATGTGAAAATAATGGGGCAAAAGACATCGAAATTGTGGTTTTCACTTGCCACCATTTTAAGCATCGTTGCGTTGATAATACCGAATGTTAACTGTGGAATCAACCCTACGGCAAGATCGGAGAAAGCAAGATTGATAAACAACTTCCTCAATGTGGATGGTATCGAAGAGGATCTCCACAATGCACTAATGACAAGGAGGTTTCCAACGAGTGCCACGATCGAAAATGTCAAGTTTAAAATGGTAAAGTTAAGCACGAACGTGGCGTGAAAAAGAACAAGTTCTTGGAATCTTTCAAGCTTCTGAGAACAAGAGGAGGAAACCATGTTGAACTCAAGGTAAACTTAACATGACTTTATGAACATGAAATATTAAAGGGAAAATACCTCATGTAAATATGAATTTATTTTTAAAAAATGACTGATATTTTAAATTGACTTCTGCAGATGTTGCTTTACATATTTCATTCTATATTGCTACAGAACTCTTCCTTATCCGCCAAATTTGCTATGGTAAAGTTTTTCGAGGAAATTCACAAGAGAAATATTTTGAGTGTAGTTGAAAGTCCTAGCTCATAAAATAGTGGGTCAGTTTTATTTCTTATTTCTCATTTCTACCATAAATTTGTTCATTTTTTAATGACATTCATGCATTGAGGAAAATTAATGGCATTTAGCTGCAGATTTAGTTGAATACCTTGTAACTGCAGTTAACAATTTCAGAAAGGTAGGTACATAATAATATCAAATATAAACTGTTGTATTCCTTGTGTTTAGCCTTTGTAGTTTATTATCCAGATCGTACAACTGAGCGGTAAATAGCTAGTTTTGTAAAATCCCTCATTTGAACTAATATTTATCTCAGAACGAGTATGCTTTATCGATATTGCCTTTTATTGTTTTACGTTTCAGAGTCAAGCATGTTTGATGCTCTTACAGTTGATGTCGCAAAAGGTTAATAGAGAGAAAATCACGGGTGATATTTGTTGACTCATTTGTCGTTTGTTGCTACTTTTCTTTTCCTTGCCTTATTTTTCTTCGTTTCTTTTTTCCTTCTTAGACTCCAGACCATTCCACTCTTATAAGAAATCTCGCTCCATCTATACAAACGACTTTGAACTCAGTAAGTACCTGCCATTTTTCATCGTCTGTGAAGCTAACAAAAGCATGAGAAAAGTCCAAGGAATAGCAAATACGATAAAAACAAGAATAGTATACATTTCAAAAGGAAAACAACTTTCCCGAAGCAAAATTTCAAACAAACTTGCATCGTATAGTCTGATCGTCCAGTGGAGAGTTGCTGTGGGAAGGACTGTTGTCGTTAACTTTGACTGACTTTTCGACAACTTGAGCGGAGGTTATCGTCTTAGTCAAGGGACTCATTGTAGCTTGAATTTGATGATGAATTTCTTTACAGCTTTCGAAACTTTTGTTACTACTACCTGATAACAATCCTGCTCAGGACTATAATCAATCGGACAATCAGACTACAAAATCACATGTTTTTCCCCGGTTCAAACCATTTACTGTTAGTAACTACCAAGAAAACTTTTTTCTTTTCGTGCTTTTTTAAAGTAGTAACTCTGAGTGGTTCCAAGTTTGATCGCCGGTGATCTTACTCAGAGTGAATTGTCACATTGTATGAAGAAGCGCAGTTTATTTAATAGTGGAAGTGGCGGCATGCATAACACCATTAGTTGGCGTTATTTTATGTCAACTGTCGAAAACTACTTTATTCTCTTTCCAAGGTAATGACCAAGGTCGCTGAATCCGATTCAGATGTGAAGATGAGACATCTTCGAGAAATTCTTAAACTCACCACAAAGTTCATCAATGAAGTAAAAAATACGGAAGAGGTTGGATGTTCATGGTGTTTTGGCAAAGTGAAAGCTGGATAAATTCAATGTTGGAGTTTTCTTGATTTGTGAAGCGATTGTGAAAATAGTTTCCTCTTTCCTCTTTGTTTACCTGGATCGGGGATCTTGATTTTTCGAGCAACTGCGTGTCATGCGAAACTCTTTGTAACTTGAAGGAGAATACAGAATATTCGTTTAGTAAACTGGATAAACGATAATAACGAATCTAAATGGAGGAAAGATGACTTAGGATGGAGAAGGTTGACTTTCACATGTAGCTCGTTGTGTAGTTCTCATATTGTGATTAGAGGTAAATTGTATCTCGTTTCTTTTAGGCTGCAGCAGTATTACGGATAGATCAGCTCAAGGAAGGAGTGACGCGAATCCAGGGGAGTGCGTTAGCTAAAAAGTCCCCAGACATTAAGGGTGTTTGTAACGCAATCCTCTCTAACTTGTCACGGTAAGTTACCGGTGTAATGTTTGAATGATGTTCGGTGACTATAATTAAAGGTTACACAGGTAGCTATCAGATAAAAATTGCCATTATAAACATGCGCAATCGACCTTTCTAGTATTAAACTTAGTCCTCTTGACAGATTCTCTTAACATCTCATCGCTTTATTTATTGAGAGGTAAAATTAGAAAATTTAAATTATGTTGACTTTCAAGTCGTCTTCTGAAAAAGAAACAAAAATGAATAACTCGAGAAGAAAACGAGAAGCAAATGGGCATCTAAAAGACGAAACAAAAACCACCGGTGTTGGGGCTGAATCTAGCCCCATAGGAAAAGAAGGGAAGAAGAAACGAAAGAAGAAAAAAATTGGTAAAGTTAAATAAATTGCCAAATGAGTAAGACAATCAGTAGAGAATATATTAATAAAAGGATGATGAGAGGGAATGGAGGAAATATGGCGCTCTGAAAGTCTTATCCTGTTGGCTTATCATCTTCAATTCCATCCTTTAATGTTCAGTTGCTGGAAAGCAAAATAGTTTCTTTACCATTCTTATAACATTTTCACGAATCTCCCGATATCGCCAGCAGTAAACCAAAGGGTTTAATGAAGAGTTCAGAAGAGTCAAGAAAAACGAAACATGGTTCGCGAGTATAAATGACATATTGAGACTATCTGTTGTCAAAATGGCTAAAGTACACAAATAGGGGAAATAACAAACGAAGTAAACTATATAGACGTATAAAGTATTCAGGGCCGACTTTCCCTCTCGGAGAAAGGCTATTGAATTAACTTCTGACCTTCCTCTCTGAGCCTGCAATTGAGCCCGATGATACCTCACAACTTTATAAATGCGTATGTACGCCGCTGTTGTTACGACAAATCCAACAAAACCTACAACGATGACAACAAGAGTATTTTTTTCAGGAAGGACGACAAATATAGAAGCCGTGACAGCACTAGCCAACCATGACGCGGCCAAAGCCAAAACAATCTTTCTTGAAGTTACTAGCTCCTGATATCGGAGATGGAGAGAAATGGCGAGAAGTCTATCCACTGCAATGCCGGATATTGTCAAAAACGACGCAGAAGTTAGGAAAAGTAACCAGAAAAAACGTGCCTTTGAAATAGTTGGACAGAGGAAACTGATGTCATAATTTCCATCTTCCGCCATCTTTAACATAACTGCGTTAATTACACCGAACATTAATTGAGCCAGCAAACCAACAGCGAGATCAGAGACAGCGAGACTCAAGAATAACTTTCTTAAATTGGCTGGAATCGACGATGATTTCCACAAGGCACGGATAACAAGGAGATTCCCAAGAACTGCCACAAGTGGAAATATTAAGTTTAAAACACAAAAAACCAACATGAATGTCTCATTATGACGAATGAGCTTTCTGTATTCTTCCACTTTCTGAATGCAGAACTCGGCAGCCATGATGATAGTGAATACGAAACGAAAATTTCGTAAAAAGAAAACAAACAAACAAATTTAATATATACTTCTTGGCTCCGTACATAAGCTACTCTCGTCCTACAGCAAGTGATTAAAAAAATTTAATATCATGCAGTATTTAATTTGTTTCCATCCACTGGGTGACAATGACAATCGTACTCATGTGTCCAGCTTGCAGGTGGGAGGAAGAGCGTCTGTTATGCTTAGAGGAAGTTCACAACTGTAAATGATCGGTCATGGAAAACACAAGTATTTGAGATATGGATCGGGACATCAATGACCGTTTTCTTGCCCTGAACTCTATTTTTATTTTAAAATAATTTCACTTTCGACTGCATCAAACCAGAGTTTTACTGACTTGGCAGGTTATCAAATCCAAAACTATATGTTTTAGTTTCGCAGAGAATCAAACAAATTTAAGCCACTGGAGATCTTAGTTCAACAAATGTCCTAGATGTATGATTTCTGACTGTCATTGGGTTCATGGTCGTGAGTGTGTTGCAAGGACGCTGGTAAATAAAACTCAAAGCTGTCTTGAAAACTTGAACAGTTCTGAATTCATTACCTAATACAGCAATTTTAACACGCTATAGTATGCAAATTTTGGCGATGACATAAATATCGCATGTATCAATTAAAGTTATACTTCCCTTCAATATGTAGATCACGAACAGCCTTCCTTTTTGGCAAAGTCTGACGCGCGAGAAAGAAAACATCAGCGAAAAAAAATTGATGCTAACGCCCCGCACTAAACTCCGGGACTTTTCGTATTTCACACTTCCAGAAATCCGCGGAGAAGGATGGAAAATAACTGGCTTCGAGTAGCTGCAAAATTCGAACAAGATGGAGTAGTTTTTATCAATTCAGAAGCAATCAGGCAAAGTTTGTTGTCACGATAGCCGATGTGACGCTGGCCACAATTATACGTCATTAAGGCACATTTTCCGGATCAGAAATCCTTTCATTAATGTTTTAACAAGGCTTGAGGCAAAGTAGAAGTTGATCTTAGTTGATCTGAAAATACCCGGTAAATAATCGTAAGTGCGCACATCGTTAATTAATCCATGGTTCTCGTGGATGAGTGCATTCTGTTCGCGGCCCAAAAGAATTAGATACCCGCAAAAAGCTTTCAACTCACTTTGAAATAATAGCCAAACGCACAGCTTGTGTTCGGATTTAATCAAGTACTGTCAATTCATTATCAATGCCTTTGACGCAAATGGTTGATTCAATCGATGGTTACTTAAGCTTTGCATATTTTGCATATCATGGTGTTCGGGGCAAGAAACATTCCACCTTCGACTTTAAATCATAGAAAACCTCAAAATTATGATAAACGGGGTATTTCAGATTAATTTGTTTTTCTTTGGTCTCTCTTCACTTTCAGCTGAGCGTTTGCAGCGCAAAATTTTGGCCGTAGAAACATCCTTGTGGTTGAAGAGGAAAACAAGTAGATAAAAGCAATGCACATAACTGGCATATGCAAAACTTGGCAGCCATCAGTCTAACATTTTGGGTTATCTTGAAAGCCTTTCTAAAGATGAGGGTCTCGATGGGGTTAACCAGTTGCTGTAAAACGGCAAAAAAATTAGCCGTAAAATTTAGCACATATTTACCGTTAGTGGAAAAAAATTAACTGTAGAATTTTTTTCAGTGGTAAAACGGCCAAAATATCAACCGTAAGCCGTCGATGCAAACACCCCATCGAGACCCTGGTACATGGAAAGGAGCCAAGAGAAAATTAAGGAACGTTATTTTCTCTGGCTGGAACTCATTACCCTGATATGGATTCGCATTTTTTTTTTACATAACAGAAATGTTGTAACACCACAGACCATCAAGAAGCTTAAGATCTTTATCTAAGAGGCTACTGATACCTGAAATCTTTACTTCAACTTAACTTTGATGTTCACGTTAGAGTCATATGTTTCAGTAAACTAATTCCCTATTGCCTAGCTATGTTTCAACACTCGACAAAAGGGGACACACTTTTCTAGTCATAGTGAGACAATTTTATTAGAAAGAACGACAGGTATTTCAATGTGCGAAGATTATTACGGAGTGTGACTTACAGAAAGTCTGTGATTCGATTCCCTAGAACATTTCTCTTTGTCCTGCGCTCGTGACAAGACGAAAAGATACCTCTTTCTATGAATTGTTACAGTTTTACATGTTAGAATTTTATTATATCTGAGTTCATGAAGGTTTACTCAACGACCAGTCATTATTTTTCACTTGGCGAGGAAGGGGGAGGGGACGTTCGAGGATTTAAGGGAGGTCAAATGGTGTTCAAGGGAGAACCGGAGGGGGGATTAGTCATGTAGAAAATTGACCACCAATGAGGTGGAATCACAGAGCCTTATGGGAGATCAGGTAAATTTTTACGTAACACAACTAAAAAACTTCCCCTCCCCCCATCCCCCTGGCCCCCGCACGGTGATGAACAATAAGCGGTACCTTAAAAAGGTTGGTTGTGAAAGAACTTGCACGTTAATCATATTTGATTCAGGCAATAATAAGTGGTTTGCCCGCGATAAAGTTTTATTTTCTAATGGCGAGGGCTAATGTTTACGCAAAGAACTGAGAGCATATATTTATGAATAAACGTCTTAAGAATTTCCTGAGGTACGTTTCCCACTTATTGGCTCCCTCTAAAGCAACTGTTTCTGTAGCTGAGGACAGTTTTATTCTCCATTCAGTCTAGACCAAAGGCTAACTAGCTCTATGCTAACTGACTTGCTGCTTTGTTATTTTTAGGACAGAAGACAGAGTAATCACTTTGTTATTATTTTTTTTTTAGAAAACAAGAGATTTTAATGAAAATGTAAATTCCTTTGTAAGACTACCTTTATTATCGTTGCTTCGGTTTCCAGGGAAGCCTAGTAAAAATAAAAGATTATAAACCTCGCTGTTTTCATAGGTATTTATTTTTCCTCAATCGAAATAACCTTCAATAGGAAGGTTGTAAAGAATTGTAGTTTTAATAGCCAATTATAGCGAGTGCCATTTCTAAAATTTTTTTTTTAACCTATTCCCCTGCCCAAAGTAAAATTGTGACTTGTTCAAATTATGCCTTTGAAATTTCAAGTTCATTACTTAATCATGAAAGAGTAATTTCTTCCCGGACAAGTTATCCAACCTATGAATATACATATTTAATGTTTTTGTTTTTGTCATTTGGGCCACGACTCTGAAACCGCGCAAATACACAAAACCGTAAGCTGATATGGCGGCCACGCTGTGTCTTCGGAAATTGAAGGAAAATGCAATCCTAGTCCAGTTTCAAGGGAATTTAACTTTGATAGCCTGTGTTTTGAACTTGACATTTTCGATTATTTCAACAGTTGGAAACCTACTTGTTATTCGCGCTCTGTGGAAAGCTTCCACGATACCTGTTAATGTAAAGAAGCTCTTCCTTAATCTTGCGGTCTCTGATCTTGCCGTTGGGCTGATAGCGCAATTAATGTTCGGAATTATCATGGCGATAATGTTGGATCTGTCAACCAGTGGGAGCAACAGCTTTGAATTTTTATGTCCAACGATTCTCTCTGTGTCATATTTCTTTATTTTCCTCCTGACTTGTGCATCCTTCCTCACAGTCACCATCATTGCCGTCGACAGGGTTTTAGCCATCTTTCTCCATCTTCGGTATCAAGAACTTGTTACTTCCAAATGCATTGCTGTTCTGTTAGCACTTTTATGGATGTCAAGTTTTTTGGCGGCCTTTGTATACATTTATTTTCCTAACCAAAATAACATTGTAGTTGTGACCGTTGAATTTATTGGACTCCTCGTCACAACCACGGGCTATGTCCGTATTTATAAAGTTGTAAAATATCATAGGAATCAAATACAAATCCAGACGCTGGCGCAACAGCAAAATAATCAAGAAAACTTGGTTCTTCGACAAAGAAAGTCGACCATTAGCGCCATGTTTGTTCACATCTTTTTTCTAATGTGTTTTTTTCCAAATCTTTGTTGTATAATTCTGCTGAGAGCAAGTGGTTTTCGTTTATCGTTTCTGGCCGTCAATCATGTCTCAGGATTTCTCGTACTTCTAAATTCTTCATTGAATCCTGTGGTTTATTGCTGGAGATATCGGGAGATTCGTGAAATCGTAAAATCTTCACTGAAAAAGGGAATCGCTTGGTTAAATCCGCTGTAAGATGGAAGGCGACTATTTATGAAAGGAAAAACGCCTGGAGACAACTCATATTGGTGCTTAATATAGCTGACTGTCTCTGAGTGATATACTGTTAAATATTGTCTGCTCGCATTAGTTTTTCTAGTAAGTAATTTAGGAGGTATCTGGGATATTTGCGATAAAACAAGACTAGAAAAATCTTTAAAAAAACTTTTTTGTTGTTTTACATCCAAACGAAGACACAACTGAATCTAGCAAAAGACTAATTGGTCACGTATACGCCAAGCAAAAGTTCACAAGTTGTTGGCTGCAGTCCTAAGAGTGTATATATTTTGTACAGCTGTTAATACCATTTTTTAACAGAAGACACGCTTTCTCTAAATATTTAAGCTCAGTTTACCAGGAGCTTCATTATTAAGCCTTGGAACTTTAAGCCAATAAAATTTAGGTAGAGAGACAGCTGAGGCACTATATCCCTTTCACAAAAAATCAGACTGCGTTGTGTGCGTTGTAAATGCAACGATGAAAGATTTTAAGGTTACAGAGTAAATGCAAAAGTGTCGTGTAACAAAAGTTTTTGTTTGATTTTAATGCTGTCACGTGACGTTATCAAAATAAATATAAGGAATTGACTGAGAATTTTTCAAGTCTGGTGAGTGATAACATGTCATCTTACTTACTGAGCGTCATGCAATCGCTTTTCCACGATCAGCTTTCATGATGATTTGGTCTATTGTGGAATATTCCTGACCCATTTCTTCATGAAAATCGTTCTTAATACAATTTTAAGCCTTCATATAGTCTCCTCACTTTGCGCGCGAGTTGGTTGGTGTGATGT